ACTGTCAGGTACTTTCTCATCTTATAGGCATAGAAGCAGGTTCGTTGACCTGAATACAGACTAGAAGAATTTCTAAGTTGTAATTTCTTCTCTGCAAGTGACTTATAGTATGACCTCAGACAAATCACTTCTTTCATTTTTCTCATAAGGAGAGGACAGTTCTGACAACTTGGTAGGATTCCCAGGCTAGCAGATTGAACTAAAAATTTGTCTTCTTCATCCGTGGAACTGAGTTTACAAATCTAAATTATAAAACAGAAGTACAGATGAGTTGGGCTTTCAGAGGTATAGCTTGAACTTTCCAGGATTAAAACTTTAGTTTTCTGTTTTGAACATTTATTTCTGTCTTTCAAAATTTGCTATAACCAAACCAGGAATGAGTGAGTAATAGAATTGCCTTCATGGTATGACGAGCAATGACTTGCTGTGAGAAGGCCTCTTTTCTGTGGACAAATCACTGTCAAGGACAGGAAATAGTTTTTGAGAAGGGGAGAGAGGGAAGACAATGTTGAAGGCTGAGTGGTAACAATTACCAGTTTTAATAGGCTGTCATGCGCTGTCTTTTCCTCTAGTTACTCATATACAGATTTTAGAATAGGAAACAATCTCTCACTCCTGGGAACAGAGGTATGTCAAAGGTTATGGGTTATAAATGGAATCATCTAATACCACTTTCAGCCATTCTTAAAAAATGGAATAGAAAACAAGAATATATATGATGTATTTTATGATTAAATTCTAATGATTGTAGAAAGTAGGAGTCTCAGTTCATTAGCTGATACATAGGAATTTAAATGCTTTATACCATTTTTTAATCACCTTTTATCTTCCTACTTATTAAATATGACCTGTTCTTATAAAGAAGAATTTATGTTCTGAGATTTGGAAATAGGTGAAATGCCAAATCTAAAGAAATATGACTGCTGTTTTTCTTTGCCTGGCCATTTTATTACTACAAATAAAAATTACAAATGAAGATTTTAACTTCCTTTGATTTAGAAGATAAAATTGGAACCTTTATGGGCATCCCACTTTTTTTTTTCTTTTTTTTTTTATTACAAAGTTTATTTTTACATCATTTTGCACATTTTTTTTTCCATCTCGATTGTAATCCCCACGGGTTTCCCATCACCAAATCATCATCCCACTTATTTTTAAAGGTGTTTGGGTAAAATTTGTATCAGTTTACCTTTTCTGGCTTTTCCAGAGTGCTTGGTATAAATGAATGGCAGAATACGGGGTTCCAGTACGATGTCATCAGCTGCTTGAATTTGTTGGACCGCTGCGACCAGCCCCTGACTTTGTTAAAAGATATCAGAAGTGTCTTGGAGCCAACCAGAGGCAGGGTCATCCTTGCCCTGGTCTTACCCTTTCATCCCTATGTGGAAAACGGTAAGTGTGGCCAGGCCTCTCTTGTTCAGCATGGATGTTCATTGGCGTTTGTGATTCTGTTTCGCAGAATAGCCTGGGATTTGAAAGAATACAGTTAACCGATGGACATTATCGCCTTGATCAATGTTCATCTTAATGTGGATGTTACAGAACCGTCATATTCCTTAGCAGGGGTGACAATACTCCGCTGGAGCTGCCTGCGTGAAATGGAAGCCTAAGATGGGCTTGTTTTCTGTGTCTAAGTAGAGCCTGAATCGTTTATTTATTCACTTATAAACTAAGTCAAGCAACAATGATGCTTTAAATCTGCCTGGACATACTTGCTGAACGTAACTGTTCATATTTTGTATGCCTTGTCCCGGGCTCTAAAAATGAGAAATGTGGTTATCTGTGTTTTCCCCCTTTGAATACCTTTTCTGCTGTAGCACGTGCCGTTTCTCTGTGTGGTGTTTTTTGACTGCATCGTCTTGTTCAGTAATATTGAGCAAAGACTATTAGAAGAAATGGTTTGATTTCATATTCACACTTCATGGTTTTAGCTTTTGTGTGTAAGTCACTTTGAAAGTTAGGATTTTCAGCATCTCTTGTGTTTTCATAGGTTAATGTATAGTAGTATAAAAATTATATAACTAATGTATCTTAATATTTTGTAACTTTAGTTCTACACAGTGCTATGCCACTGTGTAGGTCAGCCTTGGGTTCAGGACCTGAACACTCGACAGCAACTTTAAAAAATTCATTGATAGGTTAGAAACACCAAAATCTGTTGTCCAATATCTATAAAAATCTGTGTTTTAAGGAATAATATTTTCTTAGAACCCCGGATTTGTGTTGCTTCTCATTTGTTCCTTCCTTGCTCTTTCTTTTTTACCCTTCAGGTTTTATCCCTTCAGACTAAATTCTAGCCTTAACTTTTACCAGATAGTTTTAGATTTGTCTTGGTGTAGAAGAAATGGAGAATTCTTTAGATATAGCAGCTGAGAAAGACAACAGATCTTCCCTCCCCATACTCTCAGTTTACACGTTCCTGACATGGGAAAGAAAAAAACTACTATGAGTGTGAGTCGTTACCTACATCTATGTTGTACAGTACAAAACTGCAATAACAAATGTTCTCACTAATTGAACAGCCTGACCTATTTCATTGCTGTTCCCTGTATAATTAAGCCTCAATTCTGTCTCTACATTGCAATCACAAGTCATCAGGTTATAAGGTCCTGGCTTCCTGTGTCCTGTTGGGCAACCACATGACAGAACTTTAATGCTACTTCCTGGCATAGCAGGAGGTAGAAGAGCCGGGGAAGAAACAGCAACATCACCGTGAATTTTATTTCCTCGCGTTTCTCACACTAAAAGTTGAGAGGAAGTCACACTGAACAAGGGGGCAGAAGGGCTGCAAACAAGCTCCTTGATTGTAGGCACACAGGGTTGCTGTCAGGTTCAAGGGGGTCTGGTGAGTGACACTCGAAAAAACCTGAGACAAACAGCTTTGTGGCTGTGGATGACCTTCAGTGACCTGTGCGTTTTGCAGACTGCTCTGTGGCACTCTATTATTGCTCCCCTTCTCTCAGTCACTAAGTTCTGATGACTTCCATGTGCCACTGTGTGAGGACTGGGAGGTACAAAGTGGTGGTCTGTGTGAGCTTTCAGATGTCTGAGTATGCTTTGCATACTTGCCTTGATTATTTTTTAACAAAGCAATTGCAGCCAAAATGACTGTGTACTTTCTTTGATTTATCTTGAAGTTGAGCCATGGGTGATTTTGTTAATTAGGGTGATTAATTGATACAATTGTTCCATCAAAGTTTAGAGCTTGTCTATTTTTTCAGTCTTCGGTGTGTTGACATTTCCCTCAAAGTTACGTAATGGCTGATGTGTAGAAGTGTGTGACAAAATCTTGAAAAGAGACGACTCTTCCCCCATACATTTTTTCAGTAAGAAAGACCTCCTCCAGAACTCTCCACAGCAGGCATAAGATAATCCTTGGCATGACCTTCGGGTCTGTGAAAGGGATCTTCTGCCTGAGCCTGTTTACACTGTGGGGTGGAACTCAGAATGAAGGTGGAGGGGAGCTGGCTGCTGAATACTCCTAGGCCAGAGAATATCTCATTTGAAGTGCTTATTGAGTGCTTAGAAGCTGCAGATACAGTGAACCAAAGACTTCCCACTATCCTTGCCGCCAAGTAGTGTACATTCCGATGAGCAGCGTGGACCACAGCCAAGTGGGATGTGTGTGGAAAGCGAGAAAGGGACTTCTGGAATGAAGGGTTGGTTTTGGGTGGTGTGATTTGATAGATTGGGTGCTCAGGGAAGGGCCTCCCTGAGATGCTAACTTAGAGGAAAAAATAGAGGAAAAAACTGGACAAGTTTAAGGTTATCTTTGCAAATCCTTTTTGTGGTATGACTGCTCATTGAAGAGTAAGTTTTCCAAATAACCTTGCCTGTGATTTATACCAGTGCTTTTGAAATGCTGTTTCAGTCATGGATTAAAGACTTACTCTTCTCTGTGTGTGCCAGGACCAAACAGTTTTCATTGTTGCTTTGATATTATTTTAATATCATAGCACTAGTACCCCCTCAATCAATTCCTTTTAGATTTTTTTTTTGCTTATTTATTAGTGTGTGGACTTTAGCACTAGCTTGTCTAGTTCCCTTATATTCAATTAAATAGGCTAATTTAGGGCAGTATTGAATCTTCCTAGCTAATAATAGGATGTATCTTTCAATTTATTTAATTCTTTATGTTCTTTAGTAATGTACAATTTTCTTCATAAAGGAAAGACCTGAATAATTTTTGTTAGTGATATATGTGTATGTGTGAGGGAGAGATACTGAAAATAAGAATTTTTCTTCTTGCATATTTATTTATTGTTGAAGATTTACTTACTTATGCATATAAGAACTGGGGTATAGGCCAGAGATGTGGGGAGTGAGAGGAGCCACCAGAAATGGAATGGGGAGCAGAACAAGCAAATTGATGGAAGTACACTGCTCAGGGGAGCAGCAGGCGATATAGGAGAGGTCTGCTGTGCCATGTGGGCCACTCCCTGCCTGGGGATCGAACCCCGGCAGTAGTGGCTTTATAGTGCCTTCAGAGATCCTTCATAATGCTGTACTTCAACCCCTTGCGCCACCAGGGAGGCCCTCTTACATATTTTTAATTAAACAATTTCACAACTTTAATATGGCATAATAGACAAAAGTTTGTTTTTAACATGTACAAAGTCACGAGTTAACGTAAGTATGCATTATGAAATGATTAACAAGTCTAGCACATAATATAACCTCATAGGTTTTTTGTGTGTGGTGAGTAATTGAAGTATATGATACAGTAATAACTATCACCATACTGCATGTTGGGTCCCAGCACTTACTCATCTTACCACCGGATGCTTGTGTCCTTTGACCAACATCTTCTATTTTGCCCTTTCTCCTCGACCCTCTCAGTTCCTGGCAACCAGCTTGTGATCTCTTGTTCTATAGTTTTTACTTTTTTTTAGACTCCAAATGTAAGTGAGATCATTTTCCCCCCCTCTGTGTCTAGCTTATTTCACTGAGCATAATATTCTCCAGGGACATCCCGTGTGTCACAAATGGCTCTTCCATCATATTTTAAATTGAATGTCATGTACACAAATACAAGCATTGATTTTTGTGTGTGCACCAATTTTGTAGCTATTTACCTTAATGAATTATCTTGGTGTTGCCAAATAGTTTCTTGATTGATTCTCCTGTTGTCTTGATACACAGCTGTAGCATCTGCAAATGGTTTAACTACTTCCTTTGCATTGTTTGACTTTTTTTTTTTTGGTTAAGGTGAGTTGATAGTTATTTCCAGAAGCTATCAAAAAATAGTGAACATGTTTGCCCTGTTTGTTAGTAAAAATGCATCTACTTCAAGTATAATGCCATCTTTTGTCTTGAAAAAAACATTTTTTTAAAAGATTTATTTATTTATTCATATAGAACTGGGGTACAGGCCAGAGGTGTGGGCTGGGGGATGAGAGGATTCACTAGAGACAGAGTGGGAGCAGACAGATGGAGGAAGTACACTGCTAAGGGAAGCAGCATGCAGGTCCGGAGAGGTCTGCTGCGCCATGTGGGTCACCTCCGGGGCCTGGGATCGAACTTGCACTGAAGCTGCTGTGGCCAGTTTGCAGTGCTGCATCCTAACCTGGGAGGGCCCGGCTTGAAAATATTTTTAAAAGTCCTGTCTAATAAAAGCTTAACAAATCAAGAATTAATGAGTTTGTTGCCCATTTTAGCATCTAGAGATAGATATCCTATATATTTTTCTTCCTTATTCAGCTAATACTATTTTTATCTTTTTATATATACATATCATATATATGTATATATGTCATATATATATCCATACACACACACACACACACACACACACACACACACTCCTGCATTTCTGGTCTTAGAATCTTTTTATAATATAGCACTGGATTCTATTTACAAATTTTCTAAGTAAAAAAACAAGCATTAATATTAAGGATGGTGTGTATGTGATCAATTTATTTGGAATATGTTTTCTGTCATGGTTTGATATAAGTGGTCACACTGGCTTTATAAAGTAATTGGTAGATTCTTCCTCCAATGCTCTAGAATAGTTTAACTTGCATTGTGGTGACCTGTTCTATGACAGTTTGATAGAGCTCCCCGTGGACACCACTGTGGCCCATGGTTTTTCAGAGGTAGCGCTTGGTGACTTTCCTACTTCTGGATCATTATTCTGATTAGATTTCATGTTTAGTCTTAAAGCGTACATCAGTCTAAGTGAAAATAGCAGGTCTCTGGCTGTTTGAGCTATGAGGACTAGATTATTTGAAAGCGCCCAGACTGTTGCCTTTGGTTACAGCCTCCATGACTGGGCAGCTCATTGAGCTTGGCTTCTCATTGTAAGAAAGGGGCTGATGCCTGCCTTGAGGTTTTTGTGAGGATTAAATGATTTAATATATAGGTTGCCTGTCCGGCCTTGTCTGTCACGATGTTGGTGTTTGGTAAATGTTAAATTTACTCTACTCCATCCTATTTGGTTACTTTTAAAATCTTTGTGACTTTATTGAGCATTTTTGCTCACAGTAACCCAGTTTGAAATATTGTTGTGAAAACTTTTTTTAGTTGAAGGCACATTTATTTTATTATTATTTTAAAATAATATAATAGTCTGCTTTTACATCAATTTCTGCCTTTTTCCATCTCAGTTGTGTGAAAACTTTTAATAATAATTAGAATTTGAATGTCTCCATAGTGCATTTTAGCAACTCTCAAAGACTGTGTATTCTCCATTGGTTTATGTGGTTTATGTGACTTGACAGAAACGTGACTGTGTACCTGTTAGAGATTCCCTCATTTTTTTGTATAATAGACAGAAAGAAATCACTTATTCTGAAAATCTTGTTAACACTTTTGGTGTGTGATGTGAGTGCTCTTGTCTAGAGGATAGAGTATGTAGACACAAGAACCTCTCTCTGTTAGTTCTATTTTCAAGGTGCTGGGAAACACAAATCCAAACAGAATATTTACAGCTTAATTTTTCCAGAGAAAATTCTAGATGCTCAGAAAGCAGGAAAGTGAATACTTTTAGGCAATCACCAGTATTAGGAGAGGGGTGGGGGTTGATGGATGGGGGAGAAAATGTTCATTATATCTATTGAAATGCTGGAAAAAAACCACTTTTCTATAGAAACATTGTCTACATGTATTTATCTTGAATTAAATTTCATGCAAAAATAAAGGGAAAAGATGCCTCTAGAATAATGTGGAAAATAATAATAACAGACAATGACAGGATAATCTGATAAGAAATATGACCAAATATTGTGAGTTAGAGATGGACAGATCTGTTAACTGCTAGAGGTGTCCAGGGAAGTTTCATGTAGGAGGTGAAACCTGAGCTGTTTGTGTTGCCGTGAAGCATTTAGCCAGGCAGGGGGAGTAGCATTTACAAAAGCATGGAAGTGTGGCCACGGTGGTGTCCAGGAGGAATGAGTTCAGCCTGACCTAAGGTAGCATGCAGAAGAGGCCTTTGATGGAACAACAGGATAGCGTTCAGTAGCTTGACCAGAGGGATGAACAGAATATTGAATCATGTTACATGCACATCAAGTTCTCATATTATAGCCTGAGGGAATGTGATTGCTTTCTTGGAAAGGGTTCTCCCAATTCCAGCTTTTTAAAAATCAGTCTGAATTATGGTCCTTGCATGCACTAGGTAAGACTTACTGTGAGTCAAATACTACTTTATCTTAGGGATTTTAGCTCATTTTAGGTAACACAGAGAACTGTATGTTGCAGGAAAGTACCAAAACAATGAGCCTAGAGATGAAGAGTAAATGGTCTAACCCAACACTTAATCTGTTCACCTTGATGGTTTTAGTACTTGCCTATTTTTCCATTTGGTTTAAAATTTCATGTATTTCACTAAGCCAGTGTTCTCAGAGTGAAAGTATATACCCCAAGGAGTAAACAAGACAATTTATTTTGGGATAGAAAAGAAAATAGTAGCATTTCTGTTTATATTACTTTCTGGGTTAGTCGCCTGACTTCCATTTTTGTATAAGACGCACATGCATATGCACACACCATGTATACCGCGTGTGCACAGCAGCACACATCTGGCAGGTGTGCTTAGGAAGATCGGAGATACCAGCTTAGGCCATGGGCGCAAAATGTTTGCAAGGGGATCTTAAGGTATTTAAAAATCATATATTGGTTTAAAAAATACAAATACATCACATTTAATGCTAGTTGTAAAGAAATACTTTAATGAATTAGGTATAATGTATTGTGAGTCATGTTTAATAATGCACACTGTGGGCACTTTAACCAAGTTTCTACGTGGATTTCCGAGACCAGACTATAACATGTCTTTTTTAGTGATGTGGTAACGAGTTTCAGGAGCGTCTGTGCCACCTCCGGCTGCTTAGCCGGCACTTCCTGCTGGTGAGAGAGTGGCCTGGCCTGGGCGGGCTGGGCACCTTCCTCTTCTGTTTGTTTGGCCCAACAGTGACATCTGGAGTTGGTGGCAGCTTATTTGTTCTTAGGCGTTTTCTGTTTAGCCCTCTGCAGTGGATCTTTACTCATTTTAGAGGTCATAGCCCTTCTCTAGTTTCTGTTCTAGCCTCTCTGGAGGTAGCTCGAGGAGGTGGTTTTGTATGCTTCTGGATGGAAAACGCTCTACGCCACTCATCACAATCACAGAGTAAATAACTTGCCCCCAACTTAGTCTCACTGTCACCTTGCTTCCACAGCCCACAAAGACAGCGCCTTCATTCAAGACTCAGGCACATGTGCTTCGGATCTCCAGGACAACAGTTGGCACACACCTCTCATCACATGCAGACAAATATGGGATATAGGTCATAAAAATGGATGTTTTTGAAACTGTTGCCTCCTTAGAATTTTCCTAGCAAATAAGGGACTGTTTGCTTGCAGCTGCCTTGTTTTGGCTTTAGTACTTTGACAGTTAACTTCGCTGCAGTCTCCTTATTGCCCTGGCATCACCCTTCCTTGTAGCCAGTTGTCTTTTCCATTTACTTCTGGTTGATTATTTAAAGCCTTCACAGGCTCGTGTCCATTAACACTGCCATGACTTCTGGAGTTAGATGGTAAGTGACTGAAAATGAAGTTCATTATGGTCTTTCATAGTTGGAAAGTGCTCTTCTGTTTTCGTAAGTGTTGTCTTTCTCCTGCAGTAGTAAACAGGAAGCCATATTTAAGGTAATATACCTGATGACGCCATACGTTAGCCTATAAGTTACACGCCACCATGCATTCTGGATCCTGAGTACCTTCCCAGTACTCAGTATGGTGGTAAGGGAAAGTTACCATTTTCCCGATATTTAGAATAAGATGCGATATCTGAAATTTAATTTTGTTCAGATGCCACTGCAAAGCCCTTTCTTAGAACTGTTACAATTCTTGTTCCCAGTCCTGACGCTGAGCCAGTTACTTTTGCTGAAAAAGTAACTGAATAAGACAAGAATGTGAACAGACTAATTATTCAGAGTGGTGTTTTAGGTAATTGATCACTTCTTTATGTATTTCTTTGTACACTGAAAGGATGAAATGACTGACAATTTTCTCTTCCTGGATGAGTCATTTTTAAGAGTCAAATTTAAAAAAAGCACACACACCTATTAGAATCCTGATGCATTTGCCCTCTGCAGCTTAAGACCATCTTTACTAGTATATGTGTTCATTATTTTGTGAACATGTCATTTAAATCTGAGCAATCTGATCATGAATCCTGGAAAACAAAAATCTGCTCTGCTAGCTCTAAAACCAGCATCTGGTATATAGCACTCTAAAGAAACATTATCAGATGTATTATAGATAATATTGCCTGTCACTCCAATCCCACTTGCTTTTCTAATGTGGATTTTTTTCTGCCTTATTAGCAACAGGTAATGTTTTCTGTATAATTTGGTCGACAAATGTTTCAACATCTACTGCATAAATACTATACAAGGTACTTTTTAATCCACAAAAGCATCCTTGTCTGTATTGAAAACATTACCTACATACAGTGTGTTTCTGAAAGGTTCCATGCCACAAAGCTGCCAGCCTGATCTCTAAATGATTACTGTATCAGTTGTTCTTTGTTATGTATTTATCAAGGCAGACCCTATATAAAAGCCTTTTGTTAAAGTTCTTTTCTAGACTCTTGATAAAGGGAGACTTGATTATTGATAGTTGACAGCTTAATTTTTTCAGTCTGATATGCTTCATGTCAGTGTGACATCTTTTTGATATGTTAGACTTACAGGGTGTTGGTTTGTTTCCACATGTCTCTTATTATATAGTTCTTGAGCAATTTCCCGAAAAATACGCCGAGCACTCTTTTTCTAGAAATACAAAGAAGGAAAAATGTCTTTTCTGGGTCTTGAAGCAGTGATTACTGAACATCATCAAAACTTTTCTTTCTTTACACTATCAGTCTCAAAAACTACCCCCCACCAGCACCTGTACAGTAAACACTTTCATATTTTCAATATATAAAGTAAAATTTATGGTTAAGAACTGTCAAGATTAATTCAAAGTTTACCAGTCCAGATTATGGTTATGTTTTTCAACAATAGGAAATACTATTTGTGATTAAAAGTTACATGATGTTTTCTGTGTTTCTTAAGGTATTTCAGATTTGAAATAATGAAAAACAGTCAATTTAAAAGCTATATTGCAAGATTGATCTGTACCTTTTGTGAGTCTTCTGTTTCTTTATTTTCTAGAGAGTTAGATTTTGACTACCAAGAAGAAAAGGAGAAGCTTATGAGTTTTGTGCATTCAAAACAATTTTGGCAGATATTTCATGCTTGAATAAGATTTAACTAACTTAATACACTAGTGATGTACAATAAAAGGTTGATAATTTCATGTCATTTCTGAGATGTTTTTCTTCATAAAATAACAAATTTGTCAGGATTGTAGGATTTGTAATAATCTTAAAGCATCTGTGTATCCCCTCTGACAGTATATGAACAGTCAGAAGATAATTCTTTCTCAAAAAAAGTAGGCCTTTAAAAAATGCATTTCAAAGCAGTTTTTAATTTCTTTGCTAACCCCATTTTGCTCTTAAAGACTTTCTTAGATCTTTTCCCAACCCAGTTCTCCAGCATTTCCCTCCAGAAAGCATATCAGGTAGTTAAAAAGAAGGGTCTCTTATACCATATTATGGTGTTTCAAAGACACACTGTGAATTGTATACTCTGGTTAATAATTTGATGAAAATTTATGCTACTTCAGACCTCTCCTGCAGGTGGTGTTTCCTGCAGATGCAAAGGAAAATGTTAATTAGGGGAGCTATTTCTGAAGTTCACATGTGGAGAGATGGAATTATTTCAATATGATAATATTCAAGGCATTAGGACATCTAAGATAGGAGGTTTGACTTACTTTGGAGAGGACTATGAAGACCACAGCCACACCAATAATGTAGATAGAGAGCAGGGCTAAGAGAACTGCCAGGAGTGTCTGTATTTCCTTGCTGAGAACCTTCGTTTCTTTGTTAATCACAAAAACAGAAAGAGCCACAATTATAATGGAAACTATCATTACCTGTGTGTGCATAAAATATAACTGGAGCTACATATTAGAGGTATAAGAGTGAACTCTGTATTCCTATACACATTTATTCCAGGTCACTTGATTGAAAAGACACTCAAGTGTATCCTGTAGTTAAAACCGGTTCATTAGTTTATATTATGTAAAAAGATTACACATTTTTAAACTAAAAATTTCAAAGAATGCAGCCAATTACTTGATATACTGCTAAGAACCATTTTTTATATATAGTGTTATTTAAGTTAGGTAACTATTTCACAATAGTTTGTTCAAGGACATTTAAAATTTCCCATGTTAGATGTGGTGTTTAGAGTTACCGTGAGTCTGTTTATGGAGTTAGGATCATTTCCTAGGTATTTGTCAAGCCGCATTTGTAGCCGCGACCTGCCAGGTGTGCGGGAGAAGCCGAGCGCGCTGCGCCAGCGGCTCCGTGCCGCACGCTCCAGGACAGGTGTGGGACACGCGCCTTCTTTCTTCTTCAGACTTTCACTCTATAAACTATTTTGTCTGAAGTGGAATTATTGACTCCGTGTCACATCCTGAATGTCTCCCTTTTTGAAAGGAGCATTCTGTACTCTAGGATGGGGATAAAGTAACATTCTGTCTTCGAAGTCAAATTTGTGATTATTACCTGAACGGGCTGTACTTTACAATGAAATATCCCAGAAATGCTTGTCATATGAAATCAATTCAAGCAAGACACATTTTCGTCGTGAGACCAATAAATTAGGTGCTAACCACTAGGTGTGGTTCTATCTGTAACATGTTAAAAGTCTTTCATATACTAAATTAAGAGCTCTATAGAAAAAGCAGGGAAGTAGAACATTTGTCTTAGCAATATGTTCATTTTTGCTCCTAAAGGAATCTTCTCACATAAACTTGGAGTTCTGGGACTTTTATTCTATAAATCGTTTTGTCTTTGGATAATTCTTTTTTTTATAGACATCTAGTGCAGTGAGATACATGAATCTCCAGAGTTGTTGTTGTGTGTATGTGTATTACTTTCTGTAACTAACATTTACTCAGTACTTGCTATAAGCTAGATATTACTAAAAGTGCTTTATGTGTGTAAACATTTATATCTGTCTTATAGGTGAAAATAAGATAAGTAGCAGAATTGGGGTTCAAAGGACTTTTAGAATATTCCTAGTAAATTAAGCCCAAGGACTAGTGGATGTGGAGATCATACTATCTTGATCTCAGTACTCATCTACCAGAGTTCCTTTTTTGGTCCTTTTTAAAAAGATTTACTTATTTATGTATACAGAATGGGGTATAGGCCAAAGGTGTGTGGGTGGGTGGGTGGGAGGGTGAGTATTCATCAGAGACAGAGCGGTGTGCAGAACAGGCAGATTGACTGAAATACGTCGCTGAGGGGAGCAGTGGGCAGGCCAGGAAAGGGCTGCTGCGCCAGGTCCGTCAGCTTCCTGGCTGGGGATTGAACTTGTGCTGCAGTGTCTGCAATAGCTTTATAGTGTTGCACTTTAAACCCTTGTACCACCAGGGAGGGGCCCCAGACTTCCTTTTAAGGGAGGAGGTCCAAAAAAGTATTGCCTTTATCTTCCCCCAGAATCATGTGACATCCTTTTTCCTGAAATATCTTAACTCACTTACTCTTAGCTACTCTTAGCTTACTCTTTGTATTCTCTTGAGTGAGGAAATTGTCATGGGTTTGAACAAACTCAAGAAGTCAGGGCCACCCACACTGTTCCCTTTCTGTTCTCTGCTGTCTGAGTGGCCAGGATCCCCCTCACTCACCCTCACCCCCGTGGCTTCTCCCCAAATTTTGTATTCTTTATAATGCATATTTTCTCTGGTCTAATTTATTGCTCACTGTATTTTTTCAGTACTTGGATCTAGATAGTGTAGTTCCATTCCAATTTCTGCAAAATCTGAGAGTTGTTTAGCATGTTTCCCTTAACTTGGATATGGTAATGTACAGGAAGGCAGACTTAATTGCCTCGCCACAAGTCTGGATGGAGAGTACAGCATCGGACTTAACCCTGAGCCTGTGCCTGGTGGCTGGGTGGTGGGGTCAAAGTGGTTCTTCAACCCAAACTTCAGGCTTTATGCTAGCAAACTCAGCTCGTAACCTCTGCGTATAAGTAATGGAGTGCGCTTAAAGGGCCGAGCAAGGTTCCTTGTGCTGGAGTAAATCCCCGACTGACCCGGACTGACCTCTCACCACCAGTGTGGTCCCTTTTCCAGTTTGCTTAGCGCTCCAGTCGTTTGGCCTGAGAAAGGCGATTCCACAGATGTAGACTGCACTGTCGTTGAGGGTCACCCTGTTCACTGTGAGGAAAACGTCTTGTTGCTTCAGGTCATACTTCACCTTAAATTTGTCTGTCTCACATGTGGATCTTTTCAAGCACAGGCTCTCAGACTGGTTAGCACTGTAGCGAAACCACAGGCTGGTAGGTTGCTCTGACGGGCACCCCGATACTGAGAAGGAGCACTTCATGGTAACATTTTCGAAAGTGTAGTCCACTTCCAGGTAAGGCTCTTGGGAGACAGAGACGATGCACCTCCCCGCAGCTCCTGTGGAGGAGGCAGCTGTTAGCCGGTTTCTGTTTCCTGATGATTCTGGTGGGGACCCAGCCTTCATGCCCTGCCTCACCTCACTTACGCTCGCACAAGCCTAAGCATAAGCACCAGTGTCCTCAGTTCCCTCAGCCCCCAACCCATATTTCCTGACCATAGCCTGCTGGTACTCGGGGACAGCCCGGAGGTGCCACTGGGTCAGAGTTGGGAGCAGAGGAGCAGCAGACATGGACTGGGAAGAGCCCAGTGGGCACCTGGGTGCCGCAGCTTTCTCTGATGCTCTCTCAGAACCCTCGCCTCCCAGGGGTGCTGTGTTCCACGCGTTCAGAGGTGTCAGAGCCCTTGATCCACATGTCACCCCCGATGGTTGAGCATGTGGTCAGGAGAAAACACTTTGCTGTGAGGGGTTGGGAATACTGGGAGCTCACAGCGGTTGACAACTGTCCCTTTGTCAGTGGGCTTGCCTGCGGGAGCCGGTCCTGAGCAGAGGCCTATGAGGTGGCCAGGCTCCCGCTGAGCACCCCATTCTCCCTGGGACTTGCACACTTGCCTCGTGATCCTTGCAGCTTTCGTCTGATTGATAAATAGTGTAGTGATACAGGGCTCAGGCTTGGGCTTGGATCCTGCACTGTCGCTTCCTCGTGCTGGTTGTTGTGCCTGTTTCCTCACTAGCAAAGCAGGGACGATGATGTGCAGCTGGCCATGGGGCTGGTGGGGAGCCCAAGTGAGACCGTCGATGCCCAGAAAGTACTGCCTGGCTCAGCTGTGTCCGTCAGAGGGGGCTGCTCTTGCCAGGGGGGGCAGCCACCCTGGTTCCCACCTGTCACGTTTACACAAGACACAGTCGTGCACGTTTTCCCAGAGGTGTTAGACTGCAGCTTGGACCCAGTCTGCCCAGTCCTGGAGATTGTGTGCCCACCTTGGCTCAGGTGTTAGTAAGTGGGAGACCTGGCCCTTTGGCAGGTTAAGTGGCTCTATGGAACATAGGATTAGTTGAGACATATCGAAGTTTTGGGCAAGATTTTAGTCAGACTTCTGCCTAATTCTGATTATAAAATGTCATCACGGTTGTGCATTTGTCCAAGAGGCTTCAGGTTCAGGTGTGCTTTCTTCACTTAGTGGTTTTCTTACAGGTCCTCATCCAAAACAGAAGAGGAGGTAAAAGCAGAAGTGTGGCATTTGAGAGGCAAATTCATTCTAACCATTTCAGTTTTTACTGTCTAGTAGCCCAGTGAGAGGGGAAGTCACCTGGGGCAGTCGGCAGCCTTCTCAGGCCCTCAGCTGTGGGCCTGGCCCCAGTGTCTGTCCAGACTTAGAGCCCTTACAGGTGCAGACAGATACTTGACAGTTAACAACAACCCTTACATAATGCATTGGGTCTTAGAAGTGTAATTGGGCTTGGCAAGATGTAACAAACAAGTTACTAGTCAAGTTCCTGTCTCAGAATTTTTAAACAAAGGAACTCACTTTTAACACTTCTTGGAGAATTTTCCTTGGTGAACTGAAATTTTCAATTTTGAGGTTTTATAGCTCTGCTTATATCTGACTCCTGTGAAATTAGTTGCAGTAAGTTTCCTCACTGTGAGGAAACTCCCCTACCCCCACCAGTTAAGCAACATCTTAGCAAAACAGAGAAGTTTGAATAATAAACCACAGCTACCCCTATGAAAAATTTCTCTTTTAGAATTCTGATTTTCTGTAGGATTTTTTTTTATGAAAGATTCTTTAATAAATGGTGGTGGCATTTAAAAAGTTTACTTTGGGTCTCCTTGGTGGTTAAAGTCTCAGCACTATCAAGCTATCTGCCAGCTTCTGCAACATGGTCCCTGGCCAGGGAGTGGGCCCACATGGCGCGGCAGACCTCTCCTGTCTTCCCGCTGTCCCCCTCAACAGTGTACATCATCAGTCTGCCTGTTCTGCTTCCCACTCAGTCTCTGGTGAATCCACTCACCCCCCACCCCCACCTCTGATCTACACCCCAACTCTGTATACATAAATTATAAATTTAAAAGGGTTATTTTTCTGTAAAAAAACAACAGCCCTAGAAATGTAAGTACAGAATGCATTTTTGACACTCAAACCCTCTTGGACAATTTCAGCCCTAGGCTAGCCATCGCCTGATTTCCACCCAGTCTTGTCTCTTCTCTTTTCTCTTCCCCTCTCACACTAGGGCAGATACCTGGGGCAAATTCCAGATATTCTACCTGCACATCTGTCAGAACATACCTTTAAAAATTAAGCATTCTTCTTTAAAATAATACTAATTAAAGTTAGAGAAAAGTGACTGAAAACAGAAGCAAGAACTCACCCATCATCCTTCTTCCCAAAATAATTACTGTTAGCATTTGATGTATTTCTTTAAAGACAGGAGAAATGAAATTTAAGAGCTTTTGCCTCTTTCACCACCCAAACTTTGTTGGCAAATCTGGGACTACTAGATTTAGTTGAAGTGATACTACTAGAACTGTGACATAGGAATCACTTTCTGTGTCAAAGAGGAAAATAGATCTATTTTTTAACAACTGTGGTAACAGGACTGTTTTCTAGGGAAGCAGCCATGACAGTTTTGTTTTTACAAGTACTTTTTTAATTTATAGAAATTTGGTTTTTCAGAAACTTTGTTCTTTGGCTCGCTGTATTCAGGGTTTGTCTGTGTGGCCAGCAAGCTGGCGTGCGGGCTTGGGGTGTTTTCAGCCTGCTTTGTGAGGCGCTCTGCTCACAATTTTCAAGGTTTTTATGAAACTTTTCCTCAGCTATTCTTTCATCATTTTCTTGGAGAGAAAGTAAGCCTTACCTCCTTAGATAACTTCTACCACGTTACACACTTAAACATTAACTTGTAGTGCTTCAAATCTAAGTGAATTACACAAAACCAGCAATTTATTTAAAATAAGAGAAAAAAAAAAAGAACCTTACCGACATAAAATAGAATCAGATTGATTTCCAGGCCGAGAATGATCTTCTCACCACTGACAGGCGCCATTTCTGTGTACGTATGGTAGTGGGCGAGTGCGCATTTGAAAGGAGCTGGCTTTTTTTTTTTTTTTTTTAAAGAAAGGAAGAACTAAAGAGAGGAACTTTATTAAGGAACCATAATCGGGAACTTTCTGAAATTGTGTAAAGATTGTTTGTAACTCAGTTTCACCATCTAAGGTTGAGATTTTAACCTCAAGCACATTTCTGAATATTCCCATGATGGATTTTTCATGGATTTTACATATCCTCATGGGTGTCAGATGTCTTGAATGAGGTTTTATTTTACATGTGGCACTGGTTCCCAGCAAGGAGGGCTGCTTGACAGATACTTGGACGAGAAAAATTTCCACAGTGGTGGAGTCGCTGGGCCAGGCACCTGCTGCGTGCCTGGTGCTCAGCAGTAATTGCAGGGAGTTGGGAAGAAGCAGAGGTGTCTCTACATAAAGACAAGAAAAATGAGTGGCTGTTGCCTTGTGCTACAGTGAAATAAGTGGGGTGCCATTTGCTGGTTGTGCCCTGGTTTAGTATCACCCCTTTTTACTCTGCTGTGAAACAGATATGTGGGCCTGCTGCCTGTCTCTGTCCCCCCAACCTCCTGTGTTTGGGAATTTCAATCAGGTGCCTTTATGTAAGTGCAGAGACTGACTTGGCTGACTTAGAAAAATGGAATTTATGGAGGATTTGGGGGAAACTCAGGAGTTACCAGGAAGGTTGGGAAATCATGTGCATCATGCCAAGAAAAGTGGCCCAGACATGCCAGAGGCCTGATCTGAAGAGGACACGGTGTGGGCCTAACGCTGTTAACTTTGCCGCCTCCGCCGCCTTCTTTGGGCCACTAACTTTTCACTCCAGGCCCCACGTGAGTGTGTGCTGATATCATGTGCCTCTGCCTAACTGGAAGGCTGGGCTGCTTTGCGTTCCAGAGGAGACTTTTCGCAGAGGAGGGTCAGGTTGGGTGTAGTGTTGATGCTCTGGACACTGTGGATTGCACATTTCCTGATTCAGGGAAAGTTAACCTGAATTTAGAAGAACATTTTAAAAATACATATTTTTACATCATCATAACATCTGAAAGCACCCCCAGATTTTATATCCCATTGCATGTGCACTCAATACTTGGTGTGTATACTTGAAACCCTTCCTCCTCCCCCTGAGCTGATGAGTATAGACTTCGTAAGCTTCAGTCAGACACAGATTATTCTGAGAACTGCTTGGTCCACTCATCCATTTTAGTGTTCTGCCTCGCTCTGGTCCTGGAGCTGAACTTGAACAAAATTGTTCTAAAAAGTTAGGGAGCAGAGCCACTTCCTTTGAAAGACATAGTGACGTTCTGTTTTTATAAATCAAAGTCCTCCAAATGGCTAGTTTTTCTTTGCAGCCTCTCTGGTTAACACATGGCCTGCGCTGACTCCATCAGCAACACTGCATGCACCAACAATCCTTTTGCAGGCTTTATGTTTCTCTCTGCCTCGGTGCTCAGTACTGAATGAGGAGTTTCCAAAGCCATTGGCCACTACTCTCAGCGACTCTGAGGAAGGACAGTCCTGTGGCATGGGCTTCGTATCCAGGAAGGCCCTGCAGCATTTCCCATTTCCCAGCCCAACCCGTGGCATGGTGCGTTCTGCACCCTGCTGTGCCGTAGCTGTCTCCCGCGGATCCCGGGCAGGAGTGAAAATGTGGCAGAGCCCTTGGCTGGCCTCTGGCCCGGGAGAGTCTTTCCTCCTCAAGTAGCTGTTTGTTCAAGAATTTAACCTAATGTTTTTATTTGTTTTAGTAGGTGGCAAGTGGGAGAAACCATCAGAAATTTTGGAGATCAAGGGACAGAATTGGGAAGAACAAGTGAATAGTCTGCCTGAAGTTTTCAGAAAAGCTGGTTTTGTTATTGAAGCTTTCACCAGACTGCCATACCTGTGTGAAGGTGACATGTACAATGACTACTATGTTCTGGATGACGCTGTCTTTGTTCTCAAACCCGTATAAATGTGGAGGCCGGAGTCTTCAGTCCACCCGAGGATGCCACCCTGCAGGGTCTGCATTTGCAGCTGCGTGAAGGGAGGGCCTTTGGGTACCGCCATTCTAAAGTATCATGTAGGAATTTAAAAAGCCAAAATACTAATTATTTCTTTGTAGTGTGTAAAAGGAATGTTTTTAAAAAGCAAAACCCCAACTCTTTGAGGATTTTTATCAACTCTTTACTCAATAATGCAGGTCACATTCCAATTATGGAAGATATTTTTTATACTTAATTGCAGTAGGGACTCATTCCCAGTCAAAGCAATAGTCCTGGCTTCACATGGAACCAATAAATATGGATTGTTTTTAATAAAAGGAAGACTGATAATGAAGCTCTGTTCAGTTGCAAATGCTGGTTATAAGGTATAGCCATTGATCCTCTTTCATGTTTAGAAATTCTTTCTGTCATTATTCAAGAAAATGTTTTTAATCATGCTAATAAACTTTTTTGAAGATGATTTTGGCATCATGCTTGAGTTAATACAGGCCTGCCCTGGCATCTTTTATTGCTTTGATTTCAGGGGTACTCAAATAACATGTGAGAGACTTGAGTATGCGGTGACGGGACACAGCAGACTGGGGTGGGGAGAAATATTGCAAGTTTCCGTGCCCTGCGAGCAGTCTAGATTAACTCTCAAAGCGACCACCTCTTTCAGATAGTTCAGGACCACCCCCGCTCCCCGGTTCATGTTGCTTTGGGAAATGCAAAAACACGTTCCAATTTCGTGATGGCTGAAGCCCACACTCAGATTTTTGTTTCTCTGGGCTATCTCAGGTTCTCAGAATTGAAACATGCAGTTGTGTCTGCTGACAGAATGCAACCGAAAGATGTCTTATTCAAGTTTTTACTCTACACTTGTACACCTCTTTCCAGGACTTAGTTCTTGAAATCCTTAGACGAATTTAGTATTTGTGAAGAATATGTTACGATGTCCATGTCAGACTCCTGCATTCTAGAACCATTGAGTGCCTCCAGCCATGTACCCAGAAATGTTGCACTAGAGGAACTCATTAAGATCAATAATCATTGTGGATATTTCCAAGAGTAGAGCTCTTAACCCAGAATCTAAAATCTCAGTACTGACAGAGGATGCCAATTTGAGATTGTGGTTATTAACAATGTTATTCTCACAACTTTATTTCTTTATTCAAGCAGATATTTCATTAAACATTCTCATTTATATATACATAGAAGTCATCAAACCAACACATTTGTTGCAACACCTGGATATAAAGAAGAGTTAAGGCCTTGAAAAGAATTACCACCTTATTCATTAAGAACAGCATTTCCACTGCGTCACACAAATACCTGTCACTGTTACTGTGTGGTCAGAATGAGAGCTGGGTTATGTGATTTATGCAAAATTGTTACTGGTGCATTGTATTGCTTTTTTTCCCAGGAATTCAAATAAATGAAGTGCAAATACTTAGCACCACAAAGCTGTAAAAATAGAAGAAATGAATAAACTTAATGTAGTTCTTGTACAGTTGAGCTTTGCTTCTTTATATACAAACCGTCATAACCAAGGGTTGCTGTTTAGACACTAGTTACAAGAGTGTTGGATGTTCAGAGCGGCAGGTTAGCAAAGTTTTTCTTAACTTGAAGATTGAGAATTAATTTGATGGTCTAGTCTTTTTAAAAAATAATTTTTGCACACCCCCCTCCCCAAATAGAGAGCACACATATTTTTGCATTTCTAGAGATATAAAAGCTCTGGAAATCAGGTTCTCTGAAGACGTTTTTAAAAAGTGCTGTGTTATCCTGTCTTAAATCGTCTTGATGGTGTGTCACCTGCCCACTAGATGGCAGTGTTGTTTCCTGAGTGTCAGTGTCTTTTTTTCTTTTTTCCCCTCCTATATGGAATCATGCTTTTTTTTTCCTCCCAGAATATAATAAAGCTGCCTTGTCTGCATCCTTCCCCGTGTAAGTGATGCATACCAAGTCAAGGTCTAAAGAAATTACGAAGGGCTCTCCTTGCGGTCATGCAAACTAGCTGATTGACCTTAAAGGTCTTAGAGAATGGACATGCAGCTGCACCTGCACCTGCAGCTGGAGCCCCTGGTGGGTCTGGACCGCCGCTTTTAGGGAGGAAAGGAGATACCAAGTCATTTCCCCTTGTGCAAAGCAGTTCAAAGTGATCGTGTATTCTCCACCATCCTATACCCTATCCGTTTTTACATAGTTGACCTTTAAGAGAAAAGAAACTGGACTGGGCAATAGAGTAAAACTTACAACTTATCCTTCTGAGTAAAGCTTTGTTTCCACTTGACTGAGTACAGAATTTAAACAGTCGTAATGAAGTGAGGGGTTTTCATTCATTGCTTTCCCCCGTTGGTTTCTATAACAACTGTTACGTGCTCAACATGGGGTTCCAGAGCTGCATGTACACCACGGTGGTGTACATGCCTGAGTACCTCCAAAATGGCTTGTGCCAGTACCCCCATGTTAACAGCCAGAAGATGTGCTCCGAGTTGTCTGGGCCGAGTCGTGCTGCTTGAGTTCACAGAGCCTGACGAAACATGCAGGATTTTCTCAAACTTAGAACCAACTTACCAAAGACAGGAAATCATGAGCTGACAGAAGGAAGTTCTCACCATCCACTGAGAAGAAACCTTGTGATCTAGGTGGAAGATGCAAGAATGGAAATATGACTGCTGCAATACAACTTCGAGGCTGGTCTCTTGGCCACTAGCAGATGAGACAGTAGGTAACAGCAGCACCATAAACTTCACACCCACTATAGCTAGTTGTATAGAAGTTCTTATTTTGTTGCTGGTTTGATCAGTTTTCCAAATTTATATGTGTTGTTTTCATGTGGAACAATCAACTCTACCCTTTATTTCTTTGTCATTTTTAAAATTTATTTCAAAATGATCTGCTTTTGGAGTAATTTAAGATTTATACCGAACTTGCAAATGTGGTATTGAGAGTTCTTGTATATTCTACCTAGTGTCCCTGAAGTGTTAACTCTCTTGCCTTAACCAGGTACGTTATCAAAGCTAAGAATGAGCATTGGTTCATTACTATTAAACTATAGACTTAGGATTTTGCTAGTTTTCCACTGATAACATTTCTCTGTTTTCAGGATCCAATTCAGGATATCACATCCTATTTAGTTTTTTACATTAAAAAAGTGAAAACATTAAAAACATTAGTATTCATGTACATAGTACCACTTGTTTCTTTTTCTAACAAGTTTCAACTAAAAACCAACAAAACTTAACCATTTTTTTTAAAAAAAGATTTATTCATACAGAACTGGGGTACAGGCCAGAGGAGCAGGGGCGGTGAGAGGATTCACCAGAGACAGGGGAGCAGAACAGGCAGATCAACAAAGTACACTGCTGAGGGGAGCAGCGGGTGGGTGGGTCAGGAGAGGTCTGCCGCACCACGTGGTCACCTCCGGGGCAGGGATCAAACTCGTGCTGAAGCGGCTCTAGCTTCTTAGTGCTGTGCTTTACCCACTGTGCCACCAGGGAGGGCCCAGCTTACTCATTTTTAGGTATATTCTAGCCCAACAATACTTAGCATGTCCTATTGCACGGCCACCACCAGCCTCCATTTGTAGAACTCTTCATCTAGCAAAACTGAGGCTCTGGACCCATTAACCACTAACCCGCAGTTCTCTTCTCAGCGCCTGGCCATACCACCTTCTATAAATCTGGCTATTCTAGGTACCTCACTTAAGAGAAACCATATTTTGACGGATGACTGACATACTTAGCATAATGTCCTCGCGGCTCATCCATGCTAATAATATCCCACCGCGTGTGCGTGTGCCAGGTTGTTTGTCCACTCACCTGTCAGTGGTCTCTCGAGCCGCTGTCCACCTTTCAGTCCTTGTGATGGATGCTTCTGTGCACATGCGTACCAAGAGGTTTACGTAGCCGCTTTCACTTCTTTTGGTTCTATGCCCAGAAGCAAAATTGCTGGGTCCTTTGGTAATTCTATGTTTATTTTTTGAGGACTTGCCAGGCTCTTTTTCACGGCAACTGCACCTTTTTACGTTCCCAGCAACAATGCACAAAGATTCTGATTTCTCTCCTTCACTGACCTGTTATTTTCTATTTTTCTCTCCAGTAGCCACCCTAGTGTGAAAGGGGAAGGGGGCAGCTCATTGTGGCTGTGAGTAGCATTGCTCCCCTGATTTGTTTTTACAGTGCATAGGTGAGGTTTCATTCACTCCACATCTGCAGTGTAGCTCGCTCTTTGGCTGGCACTGCATTGGAACCAGTATTTACTGATACCAAATTACTTTTGAGCTATGAAATTTTATTCTTTTGGAGAATTAGAGTATTATTATATAACTGGAACTGAAGATTTCCCTGCGGATTTTAAAGTCAGTGGCAGTATTCACAGGGATTAAATACTCCATTTTTGTAAAAGGTCATTTTAAAAGTACTCTAATTACATGTAAAATGGAAAGACTCACCCCTCCTCTCTCCCAATAAATGACCAGGTAACACTGGACTGACTCACACACCTGCACTTAAGTTCAAGGAAGTCATTAAGAACACAATGCCCCGGTGCTGTTTTTTAGTATCTGGCTCAGGAGTCAGCACACAATGCTGGTTTCAAAGGTTTTTGGGCTCTCAGCACTTTTCAAATGGAAGCACTAAGGTGGTTGAGAATACTTAGCAGAACTTTTCTAGACTTAGCAGAATAAAACTGGTTTTCTAGACTTAGCAGAATAAAACTGGTTTTCCTGCACTGAATTTTGTTTCTGTTATTTAGAAGGTAGCTGTCATGAAGCCCTTTTGGTTTTTGCCTTTGTATATTATATATATGTGTGTGTGTGTGTGTGTGTGTGTATACATATATATATATGGTAGAAATTACAATTCTAGACAGGTGAAAACAAAATGCAAAGAAGCTTGATCTATTTCATAAGGCCCAAAGTACCACTATTAACATTTTGGTATATGCCCTTCCAGACTTTTTTCTATACATATCAGTACCCCCCCCCACATTTAAACCTTTCATATTAAAAATTATAAAAGTGAAGAAATACTTTCCCCTCCAAGATAAATCATGTGATTCTCTTGGACAACTATTTCCAAAATCAGTGATTGACAGAGGTTGGGAGACATTTCTCAGCACTTGGGGCTTGAGAGTGCTTGTTCAGAGAATTAAACCAAGAAGCTGGGCATAAAAGGAATTGGGGGGGGGCAGGGGTTGCTGAGGACTTAGTAGTTCATAAACAACAGAGTAATGCAGTGGGCCACTTTCTAAGCGAATGTCTAATTTTTCCACTGACAATTTTTTTTTCTCCACAGCATTAGTCACTGCAGCAATCATTTAACATTCTTCAGGTATTGACGTGTTTTATTAAATAGGGAGGGTGGCAAGGAAATCTCTAGAATCCACAATGACATTTCCAATAGGAAAGATGGAAAAAACGTTATGCAGGCCCTCCCTGGTGCTGCAGCGGGTTAAAGCACTGCATTGAGAAGCTAAAGCCACTTCTGCGTGAGTTCGATCCCAGCCTGCCCTGGAGGTGACCACATGGTGCAGCAGACCTCTCCTGACCTGCCCGCTGCTCCCCTCAGCAGTGTACTAATTCGATCTGCCTGTTCTGCTCCCCACTCTGCCTCTGGTGAAGCCTCTCACCGCCCCTGACCCTCTGGCCTGTACCCCAGTTCTGTATGTACAAATAAATAAATCTTTAAAAAAAAAAACGTTATGCATAATTTCTCCGTGCGAGCCTAACACTTCAGTGTATTTCTTCTGCGTTTTAGTGAAAGTCTTCTGACCTGTATTACTTAGCATTTCACTCTTGGGACTGGAGGACCATTTCCTTGCTTCACTAACGGTCTTAGTGAAACCCATCTTCACGGCTGTATACTTCAGAGTTGATGTGTCACCGTTATAACCATTTTATTACTGGTGCACAATAGTTGGGTCTCTTCCTACCTCCCCCCACACACGGTCGCCCCCCCTCGTGTGTGTGTGTGTGTGGGGGTGTGGGTGTTTTTAGTATGCCTCCGCAATAAATATTTCGGAGCACCTTTTTTACTTCTTAGCTTTTCCCCCTTTAGATAAATCTGGCCATGAACATCTTAGTTGTTATTATTAAAAAAAATTTTTTTTTCATTATGGAAAATTCCAAGCCTACAAAGAAGAAACCTAACAGCGCCCCTCCCGCCACCTTCACTTGACTAGTCGCTACCAACACCTGGCCCATC